TGCATTTATTTTTGATCATGTGATTCGCGAAGTTCGATTCTATTGCAGCCTCTGGTTTTCGGTTTTTCTTATTATAAGCCCTTATGTGTTCTCGATACCTTGTTCTTATATTTCGCCCTGTTTGTCCTATGTAACTGTGTCGGCACTCACAGGTTAACTTGTAAACACCCTGTTTATCTAGCGGGTCTTCCTCGCTTATTTTCTCTTTCAATATATTTCCCACTGTGTTCCTTGTTTTAAATGATGTCTGAATGTCGTACTTATGAAAGAATTTGGCAAGTTTGTAAGATGTCTTTCCTGTGTAAGTTAGAGCTGCCCAAGTTTTTTTATTGTTTTTCTCTTTGCTAGTCTTTTTCGATTTTGTGTCCTTTCTTAACTTCTCCACCAGGCCTCTCCTATATCCGTTATTTTCCGCAATGGCATATATTGTATCCAGTTCCTTCTTGTAACATTCTTCTGTTAGAGGGGTCCTTTCAAGCCTCGTTATTAGTTGTTTAAATGCTGCATTTTTGTGTTGCTGTAGGTGGTTTGAGCTATTGTGTATAATTGTGTCTGTGGCTGTTGGTTTTCTGTATATTTCGAACTCTATCTTGTTCGTGGTGTCGTTTATTTTAATTGTTAAATCCAGATAGTTAATCTTTCTTTCCTCTTCCGTTTCCATGGTGAATTTTATATTTTGGTGTTGTTTGTTGAGATAGTCTAGTATCTGTTTCTCTTTGTTTCCCTCTATTAGACATATTACATCATCGACATATCTCGCGTAGAATTTTACTCCTAGGTTGGTCGATAGGTTTTTCATGTATTTCTCCTCCAGTGTTTGCATGAATACTTCCATGAGTATTGCTGACGTCGGATTGCCCATTCCTAACCCGTTAATCTGTTTATATATCTTATTGTTGAACCGGAAGTAGTTTTGTTTTAATGTGACCTTCAACGCGTTTATTATTTCCGTGACAGCTTCTCTTTTCATTTTTCCCATCAGTATTTCTTGTACGGTCTTTATGGTTTCTATTGTTGGTATCGATGGGTAAAGGTCCTTGATGTCGAATGATACGAATTTAGTGTTTTCGTTGATCTTCAACGATTTCATCTTCTCGATTAGTTCCGTTGTATTTGTAATAGTATATTTATTGCGTAGATCCAGACTGTCCTTCAGCACCGTCTTTAGGTGCTTGGAGAGTCTGTATCCGGGAGCAGACTTGTAATTAATGATAGGTCTCATCGGGGTGCCTGGTTTGTGTGTCTTCGGCAAGGCAATCAACGGAGGGACACTCGGGTTCATAAGTGTTAGTCTATATGGTAGATTATCCTTTATTATGGTTGTGCTTTTCTTTATGGTATTCTTTACTGCTGCTTGGTATTCTTCAGTGGGATCTTTTCCCAATTTATTGCACCCCATTTCAGTTATTAGACCTTCAGTTTTCTCTATGTAATCTTTTTTATCAATTAATACGGTGGTAT